TTTTATAAGTGGAATCAGTCTCTTTTTCTTGTTTTCATAAACTTCACCCACATTATTATTTTTTTATGTGTATGTTTGTTCCTGTGTTTTTTAAAATGTATATTGTAGTTTAATTATTTGTATTAGTGTTTTCGTATTGTGATCATCGGATAAACTTTCTTTTTATCGACAGAGTTTATAAGCCATTTTATAATTCTTTAGAGAGAAATAGAGTCGAACTCATTTGCTCAGTTATCATGTAGACTGTAGAGGTAACAGTACCACTTATCCTATATATGGGATTCAACAAAGAATAATTTTATTACAAGTATTTATATATACATATTGAAATAGTATCACTTTTATTTTTATAGCAATTTTGCTTACTAAATTCAACATCTGATGCAAACTATTTGTGTTTGGAAGACACTTTTTGTTTTGTTTCCACGTTTCAATTTCAACAGCGTTTTGTTTTAAAGAACTTAAGTAATATCATATAGACATTTAGAACAAAGATTAAACAAGGTTAATGATTTTTGGAAGTGGGTCCAGCATGTTCTAATCTTAGGTGAGAAAGCGAATTATTTTTAAACTAAACAAATTGGATATTATGTAATGACTTTTCTCCGAAAACGACACATATTATCATGTTTGTCCCTAGTGACTTACAGGAAAATTTGTAAATAAAAAAGATAGAACCAATCATAGGAAAAAGGTTTGTAAATAATATTTACTAACAAACACATAAAAAGATAGAACAAATCATAGGAAATTTTGACTGATAACAAATCTATTTTAGTTGATACCAATTAAGTGTTCCAAATACTAAATGATACTTCCGACTTACTCTAAAATAGATGTCATATCGAAAGAAAATTTTCTATGCAATTTGTCCTACTGGAAAACGTTGGACCATTGTCTCTAATTATGGATTTATACATAATTAATGAAGCTTATAAAAGGTGGATTATTATAATCAGAACCTTTTAATAATTTTTCAACGCGTTCATTTGAAAAATGATATGAACTTTATGCGCCTTTAAGGTCCCATAAAATTATTAAATAAACGAATCTTAAAAGTCTATTAAGTTAGTACGTAGTCGTCTTCCAATTCCAGCATTAGACACAAAATAAGATAGAATTTTAAAGTAAATAAAAAGATTCAGAGGAGGAAACATGTGGTTGGATATTGGAACGCATGTGCAAGCACATGGTGTGACCTAACGACTTCATCCTCCACTATCATCTTTGTTTTTTGTCGCCCTATCATATTCTTTTTCTTCGAATATATTGCATTTTACGTTTATTTCATTTTTCTATAAATTCATGTTTTTGTATATGAGAACGAAATTTCCAACTCGTGTTATTGGCATTTGGCAAATTCCCCATATATTTCTATGCATTATCCCGCTATTTACTCAAACATATAACGAGTTTAAAAATGTAAGTTGTGATAACAGATAATTATAAACTAAATAGAGTTCTTCGTTTCTGATCGATACCATTATTATTTTTTAAATTAATAACCATCAAAACAATATACTCTTTCTTATAAACTGGTACGAGATTACCACTCAAACCAGTAAACAAAAAAACGCTAAATACCAGTCTTGTTCCATGTTTGAATATGAGGTCTAATAAAGTACCTTACCGATCTACTAAGAAAAAAAACATGAGTTATTCTAACTAGTATCATAATATGGACTGATAACATCATGTAATAGAGAAAATGTGTGCTATACGATGGAACTATAGTATTTATATTATTCTGTTTATTAGAATTACTATTATTCTTTTGCTATTAATTGATGGAACAATCTAACATACTATTGTCCTTTTGCAAAATTTGGTAAAATCGGGAATGATTTCGCCGTTGAAGGATAAACCGGTGAAAATATAAAGATTTTCGGTTTGGACTTGTACGATTTGGGTTATCTCATTAATTTGTCGTTTTTTTCCTAAACTTTATGCAATATCTGATAATAATAACTTGTGACAAATTATTATCAGATATTATCTAAAGTTTAAGAAAAAAAAAGAACTGACAAATTAATGAGATTACCCAAATCGTACAAGTCCAAACCGAAAATCTTTATATTTTCAAGTGGTAAAAAAACAGGTTTATGGCGCCAACACGCTTCAAGTTCGATCCAACGGATACGCGAAACTAAAAACACATTGCTTTAGATACGTATACGGATATGTATCCTTGCTTTCAGATCATTTGTATATTTAAAAAGAGAATCTATTCGTGGATTGCACTTAATAGTTTAGTCTGAACCTCGCTTAAAATTTACATAAAAAACTTGTGACAAATAAAAATGGTATTGTTACGTTGTCCATTTGTTGTGTGTGTGTGTTATATTTTTGATTATTCAGTTAAGACAACGTCAGAGTCTTGGTTTGATTTCGTGTGTTTTGGCAAACGGAGAGAAGAACCGTCAGTTACGGCGCCGTCATGTTGGTCTACTCCCTTCTTCCAAAAGCCGCGTTTGTGGGCTCCACTCAAATTTCCAGTATTGAGCAAATTCCAGTTTAAAAAAAAAATGATTTCATCTCCATATTTATTAATACCGCCCCATATTCAAATCCATTCGACTCAGTTTATTGGGTTTTAGATAGTT